AATAACCAGCGGTGTGCTAATTAAAATGAATTTAATTGAATAGAATAAAGTGTCCAATTCGGAAAACGAATCGTTTTTCGTTGATAATATTGACAAGTATACTCGAGGATATATCTATCTTGACTCTAGTTCTCTGCTTATAATATAATAATATAGTGTATCAAGTCTATCAACCAATATCGTTTTGAACGAGTAATAGTTTACAGGCATACTTGTTAACTCGGATACTATCTTACGCAGCACGACTTCTTCAACAGTAACAACATATATGTCTATTATTATAATCTACGATTTTGGATACGTTACGAAATTTATATATAATAATATATTATGGTTTAACCTTTATTATCCTTTTCGGACCATTAGGAAGTTTCCACGTCAAGAACGAGGTTTAGGACACGTACTCCGGGACGATAGACCGATAATAGTATACATATAGAATATAATATATAGACTTGTTGTGTGAGCATTTCGTTTCTAAGATTGACGGAAGGAGAGAACAGATTGTCAGGTTTCTCCGAGTATAGTATATGGGAAAATGTCGAAATGGCAAAAGCTAGAGTCACTAAAAAAAAAAAAAGAAATACTTTAGTCATCGAGTATTTCCGAATCGTTTGCTTAGATGATGATGTAGGTGGACGGTATAGATTAAGACACTATGGTGATGTGTAGATGGGAAACCCGGCCTCTATGCAGGTGTAGGATTAAGGTGGCCGACCTTGTGTAGTTGAGAGTGTAAGGCGAAGATAAAGAAGAAGAAACATAAAAAAACAATATCTTCTAAGCTCCGCATCGATCAAATGTTAAAAATTCAAATTATCATTATACAATTGATAAACGTATTACATTTATGCTAACAGTGTATGCTCTAAACACATATTTTTTTTTATCGCTTACAACAATTTTGTATAAACCTGAACTAAACCAACTGAAAAACAACACGTAACACCAAATATTATATTCTCTACAAAAAAAAAAAAATGTATTAAACAATGCATTATATCTTAGTTTAGACAAACACAATCGTCGTGTTCAGCTCGAACGTTAATATACTATAACGCTTAAAGGCATGTTTTCCCGACGAGCATGGCTGGTCTTGACGATTGCAACACTTATGTTACAAAATGTATGGTTCAAGTCTGCGTGTGATGGTCAAAAGTTTGCAAATGTTATTTCATTTGATCATTATAAGAAGTTGATAGAAATCGATACAGGATACGATGTCGTTGAAAAACCAAAATTATCAAAAGAGGAAGCCACTGCATACCCGGAAAGAGCAAAAGACGCGATACAAAAACTATACAATCAACTGTTGTGTTGTTACACGTTCAATATGTTTAATATTATGGATTTTCTAGGGGGCCATTATACGAAAAATGGTAAGGAAGAGTTTGTTCAGCTAATAAAAAATAATCAACGCCAAATGATTTTTATGAAAGAAAAATGCATGGAAACGTTGAGCGTTTTGTACCATTTCGGTATGTTAAACGCTATGGGTCCGATATGGCTCGTTTATATGTTTGTGACATACTTCAAATCGATTGACGTTGAAAAAATTTGGGGCGAGCGGGTACAGATCTTAGACTATTACAAAAATTATTATCAACGACTTTCAATAATGCATACAAGGCAAAACTGCAGTACGCTAAACCGGTATTACAACCGTTCGAAGCAAACAAATCCTAATTCGATGTTGAACGACATTAAAAGCGTGGGAGAATCCCTTGAAAAAATTTACAACCAAATCGACTCTCTTTTGAAAATTAAAAACAATAACTATGAGCATTATTTTTCTATTGATTACCTGAAGTTGGGTGTTATTTGGAAAGAAACACATTTAGTGTTGCTTTTGATTAGCGAATTCGCAGAGATGAACGGAAGGGAAGAAATGCAAACTCGAATAACAAGACTTCAATTAAAGAGTGCACGATTTGATTCGGCTATGGATGTTATCGCAAACGTGTCAAGTGCACAAAAGTTGTTCACAAATTTAATAACATTTATAATGTTGAACTGCTATTGGAAATACATAACGGTTATTAATATGTATTTGCCTCAAATTGGCAACGAGCAGATAAGCGATTCAAAAAAGTTGATAGATAAATATGTTAAATTAATTATTGAGTTATTTAAATTAAAAGACGATTCAAGATTGACATGTCTTACGACGCTGATTGATAAGCCAGCAAGTTCATTCACCGATGTGCAAGCAAACGTGGGAAATAAAGAACTGCTATTCGTATATATGGAAGATATTTGTTCACGGGAATACGGATTTGAACTGGACCAAGTACCTTCCCCCGACCGCGTCTCCTCAAAATACAATGAAGATCGACTGAAGATATTAAAGAATATAAGCAGTTACTATAAAATTGATTATGAATCTTATATTATAAGCGAAATGATAGATAAGAGATTGCATGAGAGTGTAGTAAGTATTTTTCTGTTGTATAGCATTATGACGAAAGTATTCGGTAGTGTAAGATTTGATGTTATTCGGTCGTTTATTAATTTTTCAGATGATTTTTTCAGTGTTTATGATTAGCACAGGTGCATAACGAATAGTGTTAAATGTTAAATTGATTTTAAAATATAAAAATATACAAGTTAACCGGAGCTTGTTGTTTAGTGAAATTATTGCATTCATATGACTTTTAGGTAATAACCAGCGGTGTGCTAATTAAAATGAATTTAATTGAATAGAATAAAGTGTCCAATTCGGAAAACGAATCGTTTTTCGTTGATAATATTGACAAGTATACTCGAGGATATATCTATCTTGACTCTAGTTCTCTGCTTATAATATAATAATATAGTGTATCAAGTCTATCAACCAATATCGTTTTGAACGAGTAATAGTTTACAGGCATACTTGTTAACTCGGATACTATCTTACGCAGCACGACTTCTTCAACAGTAACAACATATATGTCTATTATTATAATCTACGATTTTGGATACGTTACGAAATTTATATATAATAATATATTATGGTTTAACCTTTATTATCCTTTTCGGACCATTAGGAAGTTTCCACGTCAAGAACGAGGTTTAGGACACGTACTCCGGGACGATAGACCGATAATAATATACATATAGTATATAATATATAGACTCGTTGTGTGAGCATTTCGTTTCTGAGATTGACGGAAGGAGAGAACAGATTGTCAGGTTTCTCCGAGTATAGTATATGGGAAAATGTTGAAATGGCAAAAGCTAGAGTCACTAAAAAAAAAAAGAAATACTTTAGTCATCGAGTATTTCCGAATCGTTTGCTTAGCAGTTGTTATTTATAACGTGAACGGATTCATTAATATTAATACCAAATGGTACAAAATACTACGGATAGGAACTAGCGATTTTGTCTTGAATATAGTAACGGGTTTTATGCATATATAATATTATTGGCCGGACGAATATCAAGTCGAAAGCACGATTTAAGATAATACGGTTGCCCAACCGCTTGTGATAAAGTCACCCCCCCCCCCAAGTTAAGCCTATACAAATTACAAACTTAACTTCGGGGATCATAAATCGTGATCGGAAGTGATCCACTGAATAATGGTTCGTGTCGAATTTGATTTTATCGCTTGTATTCCAAAACGAGAGCCTACGACCAAGCGATTTTCAAAACTCTTTTTCTATAATTACCACTATAGTCTGTAGTGGCCGGATGTTGGGCTTGTGATTTTTCGCCGTCGACCGTGGTGTAATGCGGTAAACTACCGAAGCGAGAGTCTCGCTCTTAATAGCCGTCTAACCATTAAAAAGGTAAGGCGCGGTTTTAACACTGGACATTAAGAGTGTACACACACACACACGCGACTCTGGGTTACCTACGCCCCAAATTTCTAAGACATTAAGCCTCGCCGGTTTCCAAGCGGTCGAAGAGATCCATCGGAAAGTTTTAACACCGAAATGGTTTCTCCTTACATGTGATCCCGTAACGACGTTTGTTACGGTTTGCAGACCACAGCAATCATAGTGCAATGCCAGCATAGCTCAGCCAGTCGAAAAAATGTGTTTTCCAATACGACGGAGGAGTGGTATAAAGTAATCGTTCGCAGTCCCAACAGTTTTGCATATTTTATTCTTATTCGTATTGTGTTTGGCTAATGTTACTTTAGACGTGCTAAAATTACATTTTTTCTCACTTACCAATTTAACTTAACCATGGTGTGCCGGGTGGGGGGGGGGTGTTTGATTTGACAATAGGATAAAAACGGCGGCGACGTATACCTTGGACATTGGGCTATTGTACATTTTTGACAAAATCGACTTGGACAATATTATAAACGTGTATGTTTTCAGTAAACTGAAACCACAAAAATTAAAAAAGTTTGTAGTGTTCTGTAAAAAAAAAAACAAGTACAGAGCCTTATGCGGAAAAAAAACTCTAAAGGTCATTTTCGAAAAATTACAAAAAGACAAATTATCTCTAACTGACATGGTGTAAATATCTTTGTTCATATGAATGTGTTGAAGCTTTTATGGATCGGATGAAATATTATTATCTTGATAGTCTTAGGATAAATATCTCAGGAGATAATCTTGGCTCTAATCTTATATATACATTTTTCTTTGTAACAATGTTGAGATCGAACACTGGATTCTGAGTATGTATAATTCTGAGTATGCGGATAATAATTCAAAGCCGGAATTTCGGATTTTTTATTATACTTCAAATACACATACATATATTATATTTCATGCCCACGTCTAAGACGACGAGATTCAGTTTCACCGGTTATCACTAATTACTAGTTAGCAATCTTGTTTATTATCTACAGCTGTCAGTGGAGACCAGAGACGTCTCTAATCAAGGCACAATATATAGTTTGGGTTTGGTTTTGGGAAAGTTAACAACTCAACGACCCTGGCGGCGACGAGGGTTTTTTTTTTTGGAATCGCAACCGTTCTGTTACCGGTAAAGGGATGTCAGTAAATTCAATTAGACCTATAAAGACCGCCATCGGTTTATTCGTCCCTGTCTCTCTTACCTTGGCGTCTCTCTTCTTTCTCGGGACGTTTTTCTTCAATTCCATCGGCGTCGTGTTAATTTTAAACTCTAAAAGTAAATAGACGCAATAAGGCAACGGTATACGCGGGCAACTATTTACACACTAATAGCCATTACCGTCCAAGAACTTGTAATCACCGGGAGCGTTAATAACGTCCACCACGGCGTTGTACCTCGCCGTCATGGACTCAATGATGTCGCCCAGCCATTTCACCTTTTCCCTTTTCTCGGCCATCGCTATCTGCCGATTAGTTTCCTTTTCCGCTTCTTGTGCTCCTTGAAAAATAAAATACACACACATATACACGTGTATTAAACCAAACGTCCTCTAAAACGACCGTGTCCAGTAAATAGTGTTACTGTTGTAATCGTCCATTTTGAAAAATCTAGTCCTGTTCAACGAGTGATCCATGACGGCGTCGGTCTTTTCCATGGTGAGCAAATTTCTCAGCCTTGTCAGCAAGTCCTGTCCGATTTCGATTTGGTCCATCAACCGATCTTCCACGTCGTCCCGCTGATCTTGCGGTAGGTTTTCTATGCGCAACAACAACAACTCACAATAGTTATGATTTGGAAATTAAAAAAAAAAAAACGGTTTTTCTATAGTGTTTAGAAAAAAATGATAAAATCGAGGAATAAAACAAAATAATTTAAGTTAATTTTAATCGCACTGTAAAAGTTTTGTCACGAATTTCAACACCAATTATTATTCTAGGGCACTTATGAAGGAAACGGATTAAAAATATAAAAAATTAGAAATTAAATTTGAAAATTTAGTTTCAACCCGAAATACCAAGTCTATAGTTTTTTTATATTATAACACAAGTTATAGGTAAATGTTTCCTAAAAAAAAAAAATCTAATTTTATTCAGAAATGTAATATTAGAAATATTTTAAAGGTTTTATTTTTTTAAAACAGTATTGATTTTAGAAGGAAATTGTTTAACTAAACCAACCATTGCTTTTCAAACGCTGACTCTCAATGTAAAGTTTAGTCATGAAGTTGTTGACGGTTGTGATGACTTCGCGTTTTTCCAACTCGTAATATTTCGAATTTTTTGGGTCTCTGTAAATATTTTGACCCTCCCACACCCGCAACTGTTGAGTTTGGTGGTGCTTCGAAGCCGTTTCATAAACGTCGTCCGCCTATTGAATCAGAAGCCAATATCACAGATTAGAAATTATACATTAATTTTTCCCTAACTTAACCGAACCTTTCAGTGACTAATATTTTGTTTCCATTAAAACATGTAACATTTAATTAAAACACATGCTAACCATCGACAGTCTACCGAGTTGGGCCTATTAAAACCCCATTTCGTGCCTCGTCATAATGGTACAGTGTAATTTAATTTAAAATATGCTTATTGAATTTATAATATTGAATTATTTGAACAAAAAAAAAAGCATGAATTGTTTATTAGTTTGGGTATGTAAGTACTACATATTTTTTTACTTAAAAGTCAGTTATTGTATGTACTAATTTTTTGTTTTCAGCTTTTTTTTTTATGCATCCGGCGTCACTCATGATTGAGTTTTGAAAATGTTAATTTAAATTATCTACGTCGATCTTCTCCACTTGAAAGCCGCCGCCGAGTAATATTGAATGCAGCCATATCCTCTCCAAGGGTTAAAAATACAAGCAACCCGTATTAGGATATGGCAATAGCTGTCGCAAGGAACTGGGATTTTATAATACATCCAAACAACGGGAGAAGCCGATAAATCCGTTTTTTTTCCGACACAAAAGCCACAGACAATTAATGACTTGGGCCGAAAACCCATCGGGATAAAAATATAATAAAGCAAATTTTAGTAGGAAAAAAAACAACAACATAAATAAATACCTCGTCAAACGCTTCGATTTCGTCGGCTTTTAGCGATATTTTACGGTCGTCTTGCATTTTGGCCTGAGTCTAGAAAAAAGCAAAAAAAAAATGGGGGGGGGGAGAGAAATATGTACCTTTTCGAATGCACGTTCAAGTGACACACGTTCTTACATCGTTATTCCCGGAACGGAATTTCCACCGCGACAATTCAAACATTATTGAAAACGCGCTCCACTTGTTCGTATCCTACTTTCCTTGTCTCGGGGCCATGTCTCTATGACGACAGTTGTATATTATTATTATTATTATTACTATTTTTACAAATACATTTTAGCTTCGACGCGCAATTGACAGTGGTGTATTTTTATCCGACGATAACTTTTATCGCAACTAGACCGATTTCTTCATGTGGTCGGTCTGAATAACACAAGAAACTGTACACCTGTGTATTGTCAAAAGGTCATCGGCAATCGTCGATTTCCCGTCAAAATCGAGAAAAACGCCTTAAAAACATAATATTTTTCTGTTAAAAAATATTATAATTTTTTGTTACTAGCCACCCTAGTCTTTGGTGTATATTTGATTTGTTAGTGTAAACTAATGGTATTTAAAAAAAAATAAATACATATAACATTTTAGAATACTTTAGTCGTGTTTAACGAAAGTCTACAATAAATAAAAAAACGCGGAGGGTCGTCGAGCTACAGTTTATTTATGAGATGAATAAAAAATAAACAATGCACGTATAGGCTTACTAGCGTTTAAATGGGATATGTATGAGATTTGAACTGATGTGTTGTGTGTTGACCTGTAGACTTTTTCAATGCTAACATATTATGTAAACCCAGATCCGGAGAAAACCTCGGGTTATTTTGATTGGACCGAAGCCAACCCCACTGGCCTTAACGTAGTTGTGGGCAAATATTGTTTTTTTATTGCGATGAATAATTCATGTACAACATCCTATTCCGGCTGACATATTGTACCTATGGTATGTATAAGGGATGTAAATGGAAAATCTATTTGGTAATTACATTGGGCACGTGAGCTTTTTTTAAAAAAACCACCAGAGAGCTTTATTCTGTCGGAACAACTATCGTTGTCGGTTGTCTCTCGTGTGGACGTCAAACAGTTGTTTTATCCATTGGCGAAAAATACTATATACTATTATTAATGAGAACTAACCGCATTATGTACATATAACCGTACAGAGCGTGAAATTATTCAAAGCCAAGAATACTGAATAGTTTTTTTTTTACTAGCGTTCTTGCTGTGAATACGATCCGCGCAATTGTATTACAAACAAGCAATTATAGGTTTTAGATACATACATAATACATTGTATTAACGTTATACGTGATTCAATTACAATTGTAGGGTATAACTTGTAAACTCTACTATATTTTAACTGTATCTTTTTTGTATATAAGATAGAATAGCTACACAAAGAAAATGTACATATTTATCTATAGTTTTTATAGAACACAACAAATTTAAAAAAAAATACCCAATGAACAATAATTATTAAGTAAGCAGTAATCACTTTGGTGGCCAAATTTCCAAAAATAAATTCCGTACTCTAACACGGTCGGAATAATTCTTTTTAATTGGATTTTTTTCATTCGTTTTATTTTTTGGGCATCAGGTAACGTTTGACTGGACAATGCGAAGAAATCAAATTAAAATTTAATGTAATGTGAAATTGAAATAAAAGCGTCGCGCCAACTGCCAACCACAATAATTGTACACAAATGTACGCGACATACCCATTTTAGTTTGTTTACATTTTACTAAAGTTAATTGTAGTTTAATCGATTGAAAGTCCAATCAGTATACAAACAGATAGTTATTGTTTAAATAATTATGTTCTATGTATAGGTTACATTACATTACTCTTATACTGTCATCCAGTAAAAATAGTTTGTATTTTATTTATTATTCCTTGCTTTTAAACAAAATTATAAAAAAATGATAAAAAAACATAAGGTTTATACATCTTTTTTAAAATTTTTATAAGGAACAAGTATTATAGTTTATAATTGTGACACTTTTGATAAGTAGAAATAATGTAAGGTAGCTTACAATGAAATGATGACAAGATGTGCCACGTTTTTCAAAAATATATTAATCATATTTTATTATTGTAAGAAATTACCAGTTTTTACTTTTTATATATTTTTTTAATATAAAACATAAGACTTACTGTTTATAACTTAAATGAAAATATGCTTGTTAATGAAATTGCTCTGTCATAATATATTAAATGCAAGCAAATTATATTAGGTTAAATAAGCTTGAGCGAAAATTTTACCTAAATACATTGTATACACATAATAAATTGGTCGTAAATAGTGTTTGTCGGAAGTCGTAACGGATTATCATTGAAAAGGTTGGTTCGGTTCATCAGTGGCAAAAGTTTATTATTAATAGCTAACTTTCTGACAGCTGGATGTATTTTAAATGATGTATGATATTCATAATAATCAACCAACAAAATAAACCGAGTATAATGTTTAATGTATTATAATATTATTAAAATTTGGTTTTTGAACTTTTTAACGGATTTTCCACCGACTTATCGAGGATCGCAATGTAAGTATTATTTATAATAATAATAAAACCGATAAAAAGTATTTATTACGATGCGTGCGTGAATCGGTTTATGTAATAAATCAAACGCCATTTCGTGTCATAAGTTAAGTCACCATAAATAATAAGACCACCTAGATGGGCTGAACTCTTGGGAATTTACGCACATGGTCCACACTCATACTCACGAAACAACAAACCGTTCTTTGATGGGTCAAGGTAAAAGCTTAAAATTTATTTGGGTACTGCAATATGTCTGACCGTCTGGTGTCACGCGTGAATTATTAATATTCATGTTGAAAGCGCACAACACACATATCAATCATGCAAGTTTGTGCTTACAATGAACGCGTTGAAAATATGTACATTACATCTTAAGCGTAGCGCTTGTACACTACTACACTTTGACCGATTGTAAAAATATTTAGATTTCGTTTATTGCATCGAGTAGCAGCTTGACCAGTCTTATTCGTAAGAGGACGGATTTCTATTCGATTTCATAATACCCATATTATTTACTTTGCAACTTTATCTTGACAAGTTAAACAACACACATATTTTCCGACCTATTTTGTTGTGCACTTTGAAACTAAAACCGTTAAAGTTTCCAAATAACAATGTGCTTGGGTCCCGCACGAGTAACGCAAATAACGCTGTTAGTATGTACATTTCATGATAATATTTGTCCAGCGTCTTATGTAGGGCGCAGGTACACAAACATCGTTTTCAAAAAATAAGTATGATACACTTGTTTAATTATGCGAGATACCTAATATAATATCCTTTTTGTGTGTTCACCAAACACAAGCACAACGGCTTTACACAGTCCCATTACATGTGTGCAAGGTAGGCGGTGTACTCTTTAATATTGAAAACAGTGGTCTGGGCGTAAAGCATAGTTTACTACTATTAGATTTCCCGAGGGTCGTACCAGATCTAAATAACCAATGCTCACAACTATTATTTCGTAAGTCAATATAGACATTTACACGTTCGGAATAGTATTAGTTGTTCTACTAATTGAATTACAGTTTGAAAGAGAATATTAAAGACAATTCCGCTGTAACTACTATTATGTTGGTTGTTAATATCTAACGGGGCGGTTGTTTCATAATAGTTTTGAAATCAATTTTATGTTATATTGAATTTGATCAACGCGTCAGAACCGAAACACAAACTTTAGACATTTTAATCAGTTTGATTATTTTTCTATACTGTCGTAGCCCGTAGCCCTTTGATACATTATACTTACATTATATACTTAGGGTCATGCATATTGTATGTGTTTACTTTATGAGACGCGGATCTTAACGCTTACGGTAATGGCGTATATAATATTCGTCAGGGATGAGTAATAAAAGTCGATGGCGGCGAATCCCAGGCGAATGGGGTTAACGGGGTTTATTTTTTATTTTTTCATTCGGTTCTATTTAAATTTTCATAAACGCCATGCCCGTCATATCATTTGCCGGAAATTTGATATTTTCCGCCTCGAGCCGAGAAAACGGCTAGACTTATTCCAAAATCGAATTCCGAGTATATACCTAAACGGTTCTCTAAGGATGTTTTTTTATAAATATTTTTTTATATTCTCAGCCCTGGATAATAAACCGCTTTGCGATTATAGTTAAATACAAAGAAAAATAAGTATAATAAAAATGATCGTTGTTAACCGGTGAAATAACTGCCAAGATCAGTGTTGCAAATAAACCATGTTTATTAGCGGATTAAATGCAATTATATTTGTATCTAAACAATAATTTGTTATATATTTTTATTTGAAAGTTAAAAACCGGAATATACATTTATTTAAATGAATTTTCTATTACTAACTCAAATAATATTACATCACAAATTTGTACACAAATCTGGTTCTAACTGCGTATAAAATATTTCATGCACTAAATAAATCTCAAAAAAATGTATTGTTATTTGTTAGCAAATATCTAAGCATTTGTTATTCAGTACATAAATATACGTGCTCAGGTCTGGTTCCGACAAACCTATTGGAATAGTTGTATGGTTGTTTTGTAGAATTGTGCTAAACTGTATGATGGTTAACTTCACGCGCACTTAATGAAATAACTGTCAAAAAGATGCCTCGAAGGCAGATTTTCCTTATTTTGTACTATTGAATAATATTCATATTATGATAAATATTGTTAGGTGTTACCTTGTAAAGCAATTTGAGTCAAATGCTCGTGGAAAAAAATGTATATAATAAATTTAAAGTTTAAATCTTGTAAATTATTATATGTATATATATATATATATATATATAGAAGGGTAAACGTGTGCTGAGAAACTTTTCTCTGAGGTGTGTGTGTGTTGATTGCGGAAGAAGAAAATGCCTCTTTTATGTATAAAATTCAAACTTGTATGGAAAACTTTCACATCGGGGAACGATCAGTGCTGCCCTGCAAGTTTGTTTTGTTAATACGGAGATGAATCAAAAAGCCTGTGTTTACAAATATTTGTTTTTACCG